CACCCTTACAGGCCTCGCTTCAATTAATTTGACACTGCTTGGTCCAGAATTTGGCCTGAACTCAGAAGCTATTAGTTTTTTGGAACAGTCATGTTGCACTATGTAGAGAACAACACAACTATGTAGTAGAACAACGCAAAGTAAAATTATATTTATTGAGTCCCCGCTTTTCCCATTGTTGCACCGAAGTACCCGTCTGCAGTGAAGGTTTACATTGTTGGCTTTCCTCCGCCTTAGCTGATCAAAGGCGAAACGCTTAATTTTTATAAACGTCAATCCTGTTGCATTATTTTTTAATCTTGGAATGTCGGAAGCACACCGGCTGAACGAAGGTGAACACTTTACTTTGAACTAAAAGTTGTTTGAAACATCAGGTAAGAAGGGACCGTATGGCCGTTGGTTTGTTCGCTGAGCTGGGCAGTTCGTTTGCAGTCGACTGCAATCGAATTGCCAAACCCAGCAAACAAACGAACGGCCATCTATGCTGCCTGAGCTACCAACGTTCGCTTCCATAGCAAAAGGATTTTATCGCTCCTGGGTTGGTACGCAACCTTGTTGATAGCTATCGGAGTAGAAACGTCCCGATCATTTATGGTTTTCTTGTGCATCAGGGCAGTTCATCAAGGTGAAACAACTGTGTATCACCGATTCCGAACTGAGGTCTGCCCACAACCTAAAACATTCAACACCTGCTCATTGGTGGAGCTGACGACCATTTTTTCTCCTCATAATATTTCCAGCATCACTTAGGATTTATCGTTCCTGGTGATGATCAGCGGGATACTTAGTGGCTTGTCTTCAATTATCCTAGAAGGAATTTTACATAGAACTTATTCCTAATGAAGCAATCTAGCGAGAACTGGAAACAAAAATAAAACAAACAACCCCTATTTCTATTTCCTCTGATGAGGAAAGATATGAGTAGTTTGGATTTTTTCACAGTTGTGACGTACTGCACCAGTCGATGCTTAAGCCATCAGTCCAATAACAATACCCTGCCCATTTTTGGTGCAAAATTTCTTCGCTGACTAGCACCATCGTTGGGCCAGGGATATGTATTTTTTCCACGTTTCACACGTTTCCACGTTTTGACACGCAAATTAGGTGTTTGGGCTACCAGAAATAACTTTCAAAATGTTTTAATAAACCTACAGGAGTCACGTGCATTTTTGGATACATGCATAGTCACCTGGTCCATTCAAGCTTAAAGAAAGAATTAACCTGAGTAAGTTAGGTTTGCTTCATCCATCGCAAAGTGCTACCCACGTGCGTAGAGGGGAAAAATACTACCCAGAGTGATTGGACTTGGTTTTTCACGTGTTGTCAGGCTAGATGGTCTCAAACTACTACAGAGGGTGCTCCAAGTACCTGATATCTTTCATTCAATTAGTCACTTGGAAATTCACTCATTAGTTCATCCAATGAGTGGTTCATCCAGTGAACGGTTAATACTCAGTTATTATTACTTCTTATTTCTAATTTACTTGAACTGAGAAATGCTCTTTTGCGAGCTAAAAACCCTACATAAAAATTTTTCGAAATTCTGGTTTCCTTTCTGAAATGTTATTCTTAGAGTCTCCTAATGAGTTAATCCAATATAAATTACTTTTTTGGATGGCTACCTTGCGTCGTAAAATTTGCGTTCTGCGTCATTCCGCTTCCACCAATCATAAGACCAAATTTCCTACGAAAAATATATGCAACCATTGCACGTCAAAACTACCAAGATTGTCAGATAAACCAGACGTGTGCAAAGCAATATGGTTACACATCAAATGATGAATATGACTCCTAGAAAACACGGGTCACCAAAGAGAGTCCCGTATACTCTGATTTGGTTGGCACGTGAGTTTGAACACGGAATATTTTTTCTCCCTCGTACAGACCTTCTCAATTTCACTAGAATCACAGTACTGGCAAAAATGTGACCCTCCATAATATCTGAAGCCTGGTTACGTAGGTCGCGATAGTCGTTCTTGAGCATTACTACCGTGTCGAAGATTGCAAAACCCCGTTTGAACTTCACAACTACACGAGCCTTACCTGAACCCCAAACACAGCTTAGTGTCTGAATCGAATCCGGTGCGCGGCCTGGTCGGATACCACTGCTAAGGTCAAAAAATTCTGCCGCAAATGTGTGCACCAAAACAATGGTTTGCTATGTGGATAGCAACAACAAAACAAAGTTTCATTACGTAGACCTAACACGCTACTCATGAGGCTGCTAGTGGGCTCTAAGTTCTGTCCTCCCATCCCAATAAATAAGATGGCTTTGAATACCATAATAATTCTTTCATTTGACAATATGTTTGAACTCGATGCTGTGTACAACATTAGTGTGTGCGTGATCCCACAAATGTCGTCGCTGTCATTTGTAATGACCAGAATTACACACATCAGAAGTGTTTTTCCTGGACTTGAAGATCAGCCCGTTCGTACATATCAAATTTTACAAACCTGGCATAGGTAAAACACGTAATCACCGAGTTAAACCGGTTGGTACATAACACATATCAAAACCCAGATCACGGAATGGAAGCATTTCACGTCACAAACCCGCAGCTGTTCATACATAGCAGCGTGGGGTTGTTCTGTTGGCCATAATCTCTGAACAAACTGTGACGATAACTCTTGGCATGGGTCGACCTGGAAAGTGGCAATAATTAGTATTTTTGGTTTAGTTTGCTCGGACAGAGGTAGTGCGCGACGTCATATAAGTTACTTGAGATGACTAACATACTCTGGTCACTGTTGACGGAATGCCTTTTTGGACAATCGTACTCCCAGAACAAACTTTCTATCAACCAATCCAAATTGGCTTCATTTGAAAACTAATTCTGTCGAAGGTAGCTTCCGGAAAGGGACGACTCTAGCTAGTATCAAGCCTTTGGAAAAATACGCTAAGGCTATTTAACTTCATCACGCGTTTGGCTAATGGTGAGTTTGACTCATATGGCATTTTAGCTGGATTCTGTTGTGGTAGTCAGAAGTTGTCGTGATATTGTTGGTCACGATGTTGTATTCAGTTCTTTTGTCAAACACAGAGCTCGCATAAAAGAACTGACGTTAGGAAGAACCAGTTTTTTAGAATCCCTGAAAGCTATGAAATTTCGATGGATTTCTCTACTGAAAACGAGCCAAATCGTAGTAGATTTCTCGGAGTCCATCTCCATAGAAACTACAGGATTAAAATTGTCCTTCTAAACAGATAGTATAATTTATCCTCTTAGACACTAGCTCTAGGTCACTGCTTAAACATGCTCACCAAAACTGTTTTGTTTGAGAATTCAAATTTTTGGTGCGAGCTAGAACAACTACTTTTGGTAACTCACGATGCGTGAACTCTGTAGAAATAGAAAGTTATAGTCACATTCAAATGAAAGTCCTATTACAGGGCCCATTTTGTCGGCACCTAAGTGACACCAGAATCCAACAAGGCCTATGCCACGCCTTCACCTTGACATCTGTGAGAGGACTTTGATTCGTTATCACGCTAGTGTAGTCTTTGTTAATAATTAGTCATGGTCTCCTTTATTGTATCAAACTCGAGCTAAATCTCATAGGGCCGAAGCGAGATGAAGTTAATTTGAAGAGTGACGTCTCTGAAACAGAGCTCACAATAAGGATTACTATATACATATCTGCTCCTATTTTTTCGGGAAGCTCAGATATTTTGTCCCTCATATCCGCGCCAAACTAATTACTCTTGCCGTATGCTGAAAACTTTAGGATCGTCTCTGGTAAATAAAGAGACCGTAAATCAATCTGATAACAATGAGTCCACCACGAAAACGTTTGCTTCCGGGTTAGAGCCTGATGTTTTCTCACAAAATGATCTACATTCAACTATTGTGCGAAGGAACCTTTGCTGCTCAGACTTTGGCAAAAGGCACCCGGCTATCTGATCCACGAAGGAATCGGGATGGAAAATCCTATCCAAATCTCAGACCGGTGAGGCTTTTCCATTTTGTGTCACTTACCATAAGCTCACTCGGGTTGTTTGACGACTGGAGTTCATCAAGTGAGAGCAAAATTTCCTAAATACTCACCCATGAGGGCAAGCAAAATCCGACACGGTGTCAGATTCAACTGGTGGACGTGTTAAGTGACGGCTGATATCCAAAGCAGCTTGGGTAGAGGAAAGTTTACTTCGCCCAATAAAAAGATAATATCTTGATGCTTCGTTACTTGTTGATATACGCTTTCTTCACAATTGGTATCATTACAAGCACTTTCAACACGACTGACATCAGAGTCCCGCAAACAACGGAACGACCCTTGCTCAACCACTCAGGAAGGTTGCGGTAAAAATGTTGCATCTAGTGTTCGCGCCTAGTGGAGATCAAGCGGGTACAAAAAAATTACTGTTCTATCTTCTAAAACTCAACACAGCAAGAGCTGACAGTCCATCCCATGCATCATCGACCCCCAATCGGCCAAGAATCTATTTCCAAACGCGCACCGTTTCATGTGTTTTATGCAGCCCTGTTAATACGCAACTAGAATGATCCTGATTGATATTCCTACAGGGAACGAAATCAACCGCAAACATGCAGAACATCCAGTCAGTGTTTAACAAACAGTCTAGATTCCGTGTTTGGCTGGCACTTGCCATATCAAATTCAAGTGGGTGTTTGTTACATAAAACACTTATTTCCAAACATGCCCATCTCAGACTTTAACTTGGATTTTTTATTCTCTGACTTAATCACAGATTCGCTTGAGTTAAATCATTCGGCATAGTTCATTTTCTACCTCTGTTTATCTACTCAGATTCCACTGTTTTATCCTGGTTTCAAGCCACGTTGATTTTAAGTTTTAACCCTGTCCATGGGTATGCATTTTATCCAGGAAAAGAACGAATTGCCGTTGTCAGTTTTTGGCTCATTCACGATATCGTCATGAAATCCGATTTGTGGTCGTTTGCCGAGTGAGCTGTTTAAAATTTGTTCTCAACAATTTTGTTTGACAATCACTTGTTCTTATGCTTACCTTGACAGAGCCGAGCTCCTGTCGAAACTCCTGGGGAAGTGCATCCGACCTCAACCGAGTTGGACGCGAACTATCCTCACGGGAAGTAGACAACGATGATGAGAGTTCCAACCGACCCAGAACAAAACGTGTGCGTATACGGTCTCGAAGGGATTTTCACAGCTATGACATTTCCACAGATACAAAAAGTGCCTCTCGACTGCGAAAAATTACAGGCCCCTGGTTTCAACGATTATGTGGCTGTGTACGGTCCTCCCGTTTTCGGAAAAAGGATCTTCATTAATTTGTCAACTTTTAAACCTTTTGTCCCATTGTATAGCAAATATTCTGAAGGTTTGCCTATTTTTCCCTCGAGTTTCAAATTTCAAATTTGTGTGTAAATAAAACGAGAATGATGATGTTTTTCCACCAGCGCCCCCATTTCACACACTCCACATTCATTATTCTTCCGCACACGACACATTTGTAGACCAATCGGACATGTCTAAGTCATTTTCGATTTGAACCCTTTCGAACAATTTCGACAGTTTTTGCGATCTTTCGTCAAACAGAAGAGAAATATTCATTTTCTCTTCTCTCAAGCACTGTTCTCAACGCTGACTTAGAACCGGTCGGTTTTCCGCTTGTCTTGTTCAGACCCAACATATGTAGATTTTGTCACTGTGAATAACTTGTGTTGGCTTTTTTTACGGAACGGCATTTTCTACCATGTAATCAACACAAACAGGCAGCTGTATTTACTTGTTACTTGCCTTCTTTTTTCCGATGTCACTTGAGAGCGGGAGGAGTGATAGTACTGGTTTACATCGTTAGGCGCACTGCCACATAATAGGCTGGTTTCGCTGCGTAGTGTCATCTTCTAATGAAAACCGATTAAGTAACCACTTGTATCGTTGTTACGGCTTCACCCAGGCGCAACAAAATTAAGCGTTAACTTAGCCAAGTGTGTGGCGATATCTGCTATGGTCTCACTGTTTGCAACCACAACTGCTGATTTTTATAATTTACTAAACTAAAAGAAATCAACGCAAATTACTTCCTCACCCGTCTGTTGCGACTGCCAAATCTCTGGGTCTGTTAGGTCACACTGTCCGCAGAAAATCACTTAAGGCAGAATATCTGCTGTATCATCTGACCTGGTAGAGAGAATGGAGAATGGTTAAAGATCTCCCTGCCTAGTTCCTATCAGTCTACTGTCAAGTGGTTCACTGACCTCTAGCCAGTGGTCTATAGCCCTTCCCTCTACGGCAGAAAAGCCATCCACACTGTCCTTACCCACTAAGCGTTTACTTACATCCCTTTTTATCCCCTGTTATCCATTTTCAATGGGCGACTCAAACTGGGCATGGTCTCACAGGTGAACATATGTAATAGAGATGAGCTCTAACAAATTAGAAATAAGTACCTACGTGAGCTTAGGCTTCCAAGAATTAGGAGGCTAAAATCACGGCAGAATTTTGGCTGTAGGTTCGATTTTTTCGTGAACGTATCCAAAGTGAGGGCTAAATACGGCACCTAGTATCTAAGGGAGAATTTTTTGATATAAAGAGCAATCCTATTTTGGGATCAATAAGCAGGCGCCTTTCTTGAACTGAACTCTCCTTGTTGAAACTTCGATTTACATGGTGTGTGTATATCTTGGTTGTATCAGCAACCACTGAATCTTTAGATTTTTCAACGCACTATAGCAGTTACTTTCGGTACAGCAAGAGGCAGCCTAGTTCGCGATGTGCACTTGGCTATTTCACTCAAAAGTAGAATTCTAATTGATTCGATAAGGTGGCACAGGTCATTGATGATGTGCGTTACACTTGTGTACAGTTTTCACAAGATGGCAGTTTTTAGTTTACCAAAATGCATTGACCTCCTGTAGACGTGTGAAATATCACTTATAACAGGCGTTTTGGTCTTGTCAATCCTTCTCTATCTTAACAGACTAAAACATACGTGAAAAATATTATCAGAAAATTAGTAGTCTACAGGCAAATACGAGCACTGCCGGATGGGCCAGTTATCTGCTTCTGCAAAGTGAATAGAAATAAATACAAGTATGTATATAAATAACAGAGAATAATCAAACGATAAGTGGATGAGTTACAAAATTACTTGCATTATTTTCAATTTGGGCTGCTTCACAGTCAATGCAAACGTGTTTAGAGAACTCGCTACCAACTTCGATGATATCCTTCCCTGTAAAATTCGGCTGGTTTTTTCGGAGGACCCACAAATTTTTAGAATTATATCGTCAAATACGGGCTGACATGTGGTAGTTTGTTTTTATTGGCTTGGTAAACTAACTTCTCATAGCAATCCGACGAATCCTCCCTGAGGCTATGAGCCGAAGTGGCTAACGATGATTGGAGATGAAAAGCCATCTGATCTGTAATCAACTAAAGCGTCTAAGACACTCGTGTTTTAGTATGTTGTCACTGTTCAGCGTGACTAAAACGTAGCAGAATCCATCGAGGCAATAGAGGCATTTTTGCAGCCGCTAATAAAGGGTGTCCCACAATAGACGCGAAATTTGTTTGGTTGGGTAAACGCAGCCAATTAAAGAAAGGATAACAAAATCTCTCATTATTAGTAGCCACATAAACGAGGTTTTGTATGCAGGTGTTGACATTTTTGTCTACAATGGATGTCAGTACGCGCATCGGAATTGTAAAACTCTATTATTCCATTGGTGAAAGCGCCACCGTTGCACTTCGTGATTACGAAACCAAACATAGTCTCATCAAAGATCCTTTCACCGTGTCAACCACTACACGCTTGATTGTGAAATTTGAGTCCACTGGATCTGTATTGGATTTTTTTGGCAAATGGAGAAAGTCTCTGAGCGATGTAAGAGAGCCCATTGCACAGAATGCCGCCGAGCAACTTCAGTCCGAAAGCACCATGGAATCTTCGTCAATAACTCAGGTGTCTCAGTTGACCGGCATTCCCCGCGCTAGCGTGCATCGTATTGTGAGAAGCCACCTTCATCATTTCACTTTATTACAAAACATCACGAAAGAAGACAAGGAGCGACGTGTCACGTTCGTTATCTGGCTGCTGGACAATGAAGAAATCGTTCCCAACATTTTATGGAGCGATGGGGCAAATTTTTTTGTGGGTGGCATAATCAACAAGCACAATTGCGTGGTATAGTCCTGTGAAGCTCCCCACGAGTACCTCACCCATAATCTCCATTCCCCTCATTTCTGTGTGTGAATGGGATTCTCCTCAAAGTGTCTCCTGCATCCCTTTTTCTTTGAAGCTACGGTTTCCGGCAACAGTTACCTCCATATGCTGCAGACGCATGTTATCCCTCAACTCAAGCAGCACAAGAAGTCGTCGACCGTTAGAACTTACCTCCGAGAGCACTTTTCTGATGAGAAAGTCACTGCTCGTGAATTTCCAAACTTATGGCCCGCAAGGTCACCCGATCTCACACCTCTGGACTATTGGTTTTGGGGAACGATCAAGACTCGCGTATATCATGAAAATAAACCGAAGTATTTGGTGAGGTTAAGAGCAAGAATAGAAGAGGAGTGTTCACGGGTGACGCTCCAAGAATTTAAACATGCAGTGTCTCACATCTCACACTGCCTTCAACTTGTTATAGAAGAAAGGAGCAGTTTTATTCAAAATTTTTTGTCATGCCAGTTTGTTCACAGTAAACCATGATGCACGTATGTTCACATAAAAATGATAAATGTTTGAATTGGTTTTAAAGTTTTAACATGGGTATAATATTTGTGTCTATTATGAGACACCCTGCACATTTTTTCACCAAGTAAGGCCATCCACTACATGGTGTTCAGTGACTTTTACAAAGTCCAAAATTTAACGAATGTTTGTAAGCGGTTTAAACAACAAAAGTTAATGCTCTGACCTGCTTTGTGTAAAAACCTAACGGTGAAGGAAGCAGGCCTTGAGGTTTGTGACGTGTGTATGCCAATGGACACCAAGGGAGCAACAAATGAGAGCAGTTACGGCGGTCACATCGTCAAGCCTTCATCCGTCATCCATAATTTCAGTTAAAACTGACAGCTCCAAGATCTAGAAACTAGCAATTAGGCATTTGAAGTGATGCACATGAATCTGTCTGAGGTAGCGAAGCTAGCTGTAACAGCGCGAAAGCGTATACCAGTTTGGTGCGCTGTCATTTTGTGTTTGGATCTTAAGTTTATTTAATATCTATAAAACCACATTTAAAATCATTGTGCGCTATTCTCTGCGTAAAATGCATCATATAGCCAGAAAATCTTACGTGCACACAAAGTTGGTTTAGACGGAAGGCCTCAAATGAATCTAGCCGAATCGCTCGTTCATGGTGGCCTTCATATAGTTTTTGGACACCTTCATCTGACTGAAGACAGAAATTCCGTATTATCAAAAGCAACCCATAGTTCCACCACGAATGATCGAATTCTGCTACATTTTTTTCAGCATTTGGAGATGAACACTAGTAACGGTAAATGATTCTGCGTCCACTCAACGTCCGCTAAAAGGATACTGTTCTGTAGCTCATTCCGCTGCTGAGAAGCTGGAATTGTCTCACCGGAAAGTACAGGATAACCAGCTATGTGATTCGACTTCACGCCTTTTTAGCTATCACTGTTAGCAGAGCTTTTGGGAAAATTTGCTGACTAGTGAGAATGCACAGTCTCAAACTGAGAGTGTAACTGGATATACTGTGATCACGTCGACCAAATGAAGTGCATCTCAAGTGAAGATAAATCGACAACTGACATATAAATAATATAAATATATAAATATAATAATAATAAATAGATAATAACAACAAATCGACGCTGCAAAATATATAATCAACTTTGGACATTTTTCATCAAACCTTTGCAACACAAAATTCGATCAGTCTGTCCAACAGGCTCCACCGTTTCTATTTGGGAATACTCTTTTTCACCGAACGAGGCAAAATTCCAGACAAGTAAGGCAAACGATGCAAAGCTGGCGGTGCAAAATTCACGACAGCATTTCTTTACTTTGTGTATGAGGTGGTCTTTAGCCGAATATCTACGGATTTGAGTGAGTCTTATTGGTGTTCCAAAAACAAGCAAATTTTGTGTCAAATCTTTTGCTTCTTGAATAGAAAGCCTTCGATATTATTTTCGGTCGTGACATGCAAAGGTGTAGCAGTCTTATCAGGCCGTTACCCTCCGAATTCGGTCCAGATCAGAGTAACGACAAATAACGCCCCATTAATTTTGTTTATAGAATGGGATTTTCAGAAATTCACCAATGTCTTCATCATGACTGATATCCGGAAACATTATTAAATAGTTGTTAGTGAGTGCCAAATTCTGTTCGTGAAAACAAGCCTCCATGATTCATTTCCCTGCGCGACCAAACTTTTCAGTCAGTCTGGTATCAAGATGCTCGTTATGTTACTTTTTATAGTGAAAGCAAACTGGCTCTGAAACTTTCTCATCTGATGAGTTCTGCAAATAATTTCAGCAGGTGATTAACCATTTGGTCCAGATTTTACTAAAATTACCCGTGGTTTTAGTAGGCAGACAAATAATTTTTCCTTTTTCTGGGTTCATTTTTTCTTCTAGTTGCGTCACGTTTGAGTTTCTTGGGGAGAGTTCTGTTTGCGACGTGTGAAGACCGACCTTGCGACTGCTGAATCGTATTTTTATCATTTATTATTTATTATTAGTGGCCACGTATTTTTGGCATATTCGTTAAAAAGTCACTTTGGAGAAATGGTTTGCTTCTCCCCTTG